GTACAGCTGGCATTCAACAGCTGATTAAGTATAGCCCATTATGGCCCTGAAGTCCCAGCCTTCCCCTCTACCATCAGCTTGTATGGCAGGAGAACTAAGAAAATGACAGTATAGAATCAATCACAACTTGCACCCATGCACAGAGTCCTTTAAAAGACAAATATCCCATAAATCTGAATGGACAGAGGTGCATTAGACTTGAGAATGTTTACAGGCTTTTTTAGAGACTGTTTCTGATTCAGGCTGGTTGTTATGGCGTGGTTGTCCTGTGCATATTTTCAGGCAACAAGATACTTTCTATGTCAGAAACACACTGTATAATTCAAGAGCTAAGACAGGAAAGGACAGAGCGAATGACTTATAAGGACTATTTAAACTGAAGCAAACCCAAAAGATAAAACAGAGCGTAATTGGAAAGTTAAGCTGACTGTAATATTGTCAGGTTGGTTTTGATCACTGCAAAAAATGCATCTCAGTAGTTATTAATAAAAAGCCAACCCACTGGAATTGGAACCTGGTGCCATATGTTACTTCAAGATTAAAAGACACACTCGTTGCTAAAACTCACTAACTCACATGCCAACTAACAGCAAGTGCTTGTACACACATACATGCACACGCACACACACACTAACATAGCATGTTGGGTACAGACAGTGGATTGGGATGTGCACAGAGAGCCCACTGCAGCAGGGAGTATAGAAGACTGCATTAGCATTCCCCATTTAGCCACTATGAGGCCGTTTCTGTGGCAACCTGCTGCCGACTGGTAACTAGGCGACAGGAACATGGCTGTGTGTATATGGTCTGCCTGTGTGCTATTGGCTTATTGATGAAGGGGAGGATAAGGACTCAGAACACCGGCAAAAAAAATGGAGAGAGAGGCGAACAATGAAAAAATTGTTTGCCTCTTTTTCTTGTGTACTTGGCCTACTCTCAGTGTTGATGCCGTAGGTAAGGACCTAATGACTCTAAGTGGGAAGCCTTCACAGCACGACCCGATGACATTTGCGTTTTACGGTATCTTGGCAGTCATGGCTCAAGGCTCCACTGAAAGCTAATGTCACAGTGGGACCTCCTATAAGCCACTGTAAAAGAGGTCAAGTAACTCCTATCGCTGAACAGAAACGAATGTCACTAGATGGTAAATGACTGCTCGCAGTAACATTATACTGCACTGAGAATAATGAACTGAAAGGACAACAATAAGGTCTTCGTTTTTTCCTCTGTGTGCTGCAGACTACCTAAGTGAACAGTGACCAGAACAGTCATATCAAACAGGAGTTTTAACAGAGCTTATTTTTAGGGTCTATGCTTACCTATTCTCTATGTAAACTGGAGATCCATGTCAACCTATTCACATGGGGGCTTGTTGAGCCTAGTAAGGTTAATAGTTACAAGCCTGTTCAGGACTCTGGAGTGGCTGTGTCAGAAGGGGGAGTCAGGGGTTGAGATAAGTCACAGCACCATAACCTTCCTTGGTAAGGGGGCTGCTCTGCCTTTTGCTACTGTCTGACATGTTAGGAGAGACATGGATAGATGGAGAGGGAGGGGGTTAGTTAGCAGTGGGCTGACATGTCTTTGTTCAGACCCAGTGCTGCAGTGTGCTGCAGTGCAGATGATGTCATCTCCACCTGCTGCCTGCTGCTCCAAATGCGATGCACGTCCACTGCAGAGGGAGGATGGGGGTAGACACGAGTGGGAGGGGAGAAGGAGGAGACAGGGAAGGTGAGCAGCCAAACAGCAGTTTAACAACACGGTGACGTTGTTAACGGCCTCCCTCTCGCTGGTTTACTCCCTTGTGACGGTGTGTGGCAGCAGACGTGGTCACTCTCACATATTTAGGGCAGACTGTGACGTGCTATTTTATAATATAACTGGGTACAAAAACCAGGCAGACAACCTTTTTTATTAGAGAACTTGAATGAATGGTGTTTAGTCTATTGAAGTGTAAACTTAAAGCTATAAAGACAAGAACTCCAGGTTAAGTTTCTGTGAGTGAATCAGATTTTCTCTCTTTTGACGTATTAGAAATTGGTACTGTAATCCCCTGCTGGAATTGGACCCTGGCTAACCTCTCCTTTCCAAACTGGAGATAAAAATGACAAAACTACAGAGACCTCTTCACTTTTCTGAATACATTTTTATGCTCTGTTTCACACTTCTATGCATCTAAACTCATTTCTGGTGTTGGTTATCCTGTGCCATATTAAGTGTTATTCAATAAGAGTTATTTTAATGACTCTAGCTAACACAGTTAGAGTGAACCTTTTCTTTTTTTCTCCCTTTACAGTCTGTTACATAACACAACAGAGTGCTTTTCGAAATTATAGTGAATTTGCTGCCAAGTGATGATCTGACTTGTCTCCTGTTAGAACTAAGAGGAAAACCTATCACCTTTGGGATGAATGCCTGAAGAGGATGGGGAAATCTAAAGACACTAAATGTCTTTAGATGTGATCGTTTCCTTACTTGTTAAGCAACGAGAATGATGAACAGCAGGTCAACTTTGGGACCGGTACTCACTCAATACATTTCTAGACTTCAGACTTTGACTGTGGCTGTCTTGTTCCACAAGGACAGTTTCAAGTATCTTTTATTCATAAAAGGCACTGCAAGAGTAGTGTAGTATACTTTCTCCATGTTAAAATTGATCTTTGCAGAGTCTACAGTGTCCCTTTGTGTGTTATGAAAGTTGTGTGTCAATGTGGCTCTACTGTGACTTTGCATTAGCTTCTCTCAAAGGACACATCTTTGGAGACAAGCAAAGAGCAGCAGACCTGTAAAATCTGCACTGGGTTTGAATCCACACAACATCAAAGTCCTGCCTAATTCAATCTATTTCATCTTTGGGACATGGCGGAGCTCCTCAAGAGATAGTTTGATATACACGGGCATGTGGGAAGGAAGGACAGGGCTGCTTATGGAGGCACACTGGAACACAACGAAAGTGAGAACAGGCTTGAGGGAGGAATAAAACAGCTGGGGGAGATTACAGTAAGGACAGGACAAGGGTGAAGGGAGATGAGAGGGCAGGGAAGGGTGACAAGTGAAAAGCAGCTTGTCAGAGATATCGAGGGTGAGGGCAAGACTATTAATAGAGCTTTAGTGTCTTGGAGGCACCGTAATGTTTGTGCTCACACTAAAACAACCTTTATTTCACCCTTGGAACTGAAAATACACAGTTCAAGAAAAATGTGCCTATTGAGATAATACTACAGGGTTTACAGGGTTATTCATTTAGTGAGCTTTGGACAAACTGCAGGAGGAGATCTTTCATTTTCACTTTTTAACTCAGGGTTCTGTTCATGCCGCTCAGTTTAAATGCTGGACCTCATTATCCCTCTGCAGCCAGTCAGATTCTCACATGTAACCCAGTGGAAAGACCAGAGGCTAGCCTCCCCCAAGGTCTCTGTGTGAACTGATTGACAGGAGCTAGTATTTGTGCCCATGCAAAGCAAGGGAGCCAGGCCATCTGGCAACAGCCCTCACAGCTGGAACACATGGGTATGCATTGATCAAAGACAGACTTTACTTTGACTTAGTGTATTGACCGGTTTCGGATTTGTTCTATATTTTTGCCTTGCTTTAAACTGCTGTTAGAAGAGTGATAACATACAGTTTAAATGTGCAAAGCATAAGAGTTAAAGCAACAGAAACAAGCTTGCTTTTAAGATTATGTTACTTTAGCACTAGGATTTGAGAATCCATCCATCTGCTATAATCCTCAGCCTGTAAAAGGCCATGGGGCAGAGTGAGAGACAGAGCATACCCTGGCCAATTCATGAATCAGTCACAAGGCTAATGTACAAAAACAACAAATGAGCTTTCAGAGTGATCTAACGTTTAAATGTTCTTAATATGTAAGTGTTTACTGCTATGAAAAGCTGAATCAACTGACTGAAACCTCTCAGATGGGTAAGATATACTTTTGAATTTCCTTTAAGTAAACAAATGTTCCTCTTGGATACATCAGTTGCAGAAAACTGTTGAATTTCTTCACAAAAAAGCCGATAAGCTCTAATGTCACACTTTTAATTTCAAGACTAAATACCAAAGTGAAGGTAACCAGAAGTCTACATCACTGGCATACCTGTACATAAAAGTACATAAAACTCTACTTTTTTATGTACTTTAGTACATAAAAAAACTACAAGTAGTAACAGCTGACAACAATGGCATTATTTTCAATTATTATCCCCTGGCAATTCTGTGTCTTAAAACAAAAACTAATTTTTCAGGTCACAGTGCTTCAACACAGCTCTCAGGATTCTGGCATTCATCCAGATATATAGACAGGTCAATACGAGTACAGTCTGGACAAAGAATAGATACTTTGTGCCACAATGGAGGTAAAATGCCAAGAGTGCACACCCCTTGAAACTTACT